AGACCCACTTGCTTTTAATGCATATTTTAAAACGTGAAAACCATGGTAATCAGCTTCAGAGGCATACAATTGGCACACTATAGCAATCAGCTTTAGAGGCATACAATTGGCACACTATAGCAATCAGCTTTAGAGGCATACAATTGGCACACTATAGCAATCAGCTTTAGAGGCATACAATTGGCACACTATAGCAATCAGCTTTAGAGGCATACAATTGGCACACCATGGCAATCAGATTCAGAGGCATACAACTGGAACATTATGGCAGCTTTAGATGCATAAAATTGGCACACCATGGCAATCCGCTTTAGATGCATACAATTGGCATACCATGGCAATCCGCTTTAGAAGCATACAATTGGCATACCAAGGCAATCCGCTTTAGATGCATAAAACTGGCACACTATAGCAATCCGCTTTAGATGCATAAAATTGGTATATCATGGCAATCAGTTTTAGATGTATAAACTTGGCACATCATGGCAACTTTAGGTGCATACAATTGGCACACCATGGCAATCCGCTTAAGAGGCATACAATTGGCATACCATGGCAATCCGCTTTTGATGCATAAAATTAGTACATCATGGCAATCAGTTTTAGATGTATAAACTTGGCACATCATGGCAACTTTAGGTGCATAAAATTGGCACACCATGGCAATCAGTTTTAGAGGCTTACAATTGGCACACCATGGCAACCAGCTTTAGAGGCATAAATTCAGAACATCGTGGCAATCAGTTTTAGAGGCATAAAATTGGTACATCATGGCAGCTTTAAATACATAAACGTGGCACAGCATGGCGATAAGCTTTAGATGCATAACCTTGGCATATCATGGCAATCAGCTTCAGAGGCATACAATTGGCACACCATGGCAATCAGTTTTAAAAGCATAACATTGGCACACCATGGCAATCAGTTTTAAAAGCATAACATTGGCACACCATGGCAATCAGTTTTAGATGCATAAAATAGGCATAACATGGCAGTTTTAGAGGCATAATTCTGGGATATCATGGCAGTTTTAGAGGCAGAAACTTTGCACATCATGGCAATCAGTTTTAGAGACATACAACTGCTTACTCACAGACACAGAATCAGAAGTGCTGTGCCCTGCTCTTTCATCCAGGCACCTCACATTGATTATCCCAGTGTTGGAACTAATGTAGAGAGTGCCCTGGTGCAAATATGTTTTCCGGGCCACCCTCTAGTGCAAGTGTGGCCAAAAGGTAGATCTCCATCTGTCGGAGAACTTCAACAATGCTATACCAGATGGGGATCTACCATTTGCACATCATTGCAGGGTTATATTTGTGAGCAGTGTTTGAGCGTTTGAATGTAAGCATGTTTTTGTATTAAGTATCTGTGTGCATGTATGGGTGTATTTGTATGTACTGTTGCCATTGGAATGTAGTGGTGTACTTGTTTGTAATGTTTGCGTCTGAATGCATGGGTGTTTGTATGTAGTGTCAGACTTGAAATGCAGGTGTGCTTTTTGAGTGTTGGTGTTTGAATGAAGGGGTGTTTGTAGATAATTTTAGTGTTTTAATGCCGGGGTGTGTTTGTATGTAATGTTTGCGATTGCAGGACGTGTGTAGTGGATGCAGTGTGTGTGTGTGTAGTGGATGCAGTGTGTGTATTGTGTTTATAAAATATACATATACACAATGTGTGTTTGAATGTAAGCATGTTGTTTTATATGGAGTATGTGTGAAGTATATACACATATACACACACATACAGAGACAGACACACAAATACACACCCTGACACAGCAATACACACAATGACACCTAGTTTCCCACACATAGATACACAGACACTCATGTACACAGATACACACTGACACACAATACACACACACTGACACAAAAGGACACACAGATACACATACACGCAGAGACAGGAGGTGAGGGTGACAGTGTGGAAGAGGTGAGGGTGACAGGTGTGTGTGCTGGTAACAGTGTGGGGGGCAGTGTTAGGGCAAAGTGAGAAAGGGTTACAGTGGGCGGGCAGGGGGAGAAGGGGTGGGCAGGCAGGAGGAGAAGGGGTGGGCAGGCAGGGGGAGAAAGGGTTACAGTGTCGGGGCCAGGGGGAGAAAAGGTTACAGTGGGAGGGGCCGGGAGTGAATGCGTTACAGTGTGGGGAGAGGGGCCGGGAGTGAAGGAGTTACAGTGTGGGGAGGGCAGGGAGTGAAGATGTTACAGTGTGGGGAGGGGCAGGAGTGAAGGGGTTACAGGTGGGGGGAGGCAGGAGGAAGGGGTTACACGGAGGGAGGGGCAACGAGTGAAGGGTTACACTTGGGGATGGGCAGGATGAAGGGCTACATGGGGAGGGCAGGAGTGAAGGTTACACAAGGGAGGGCAGGGAGTGAAAGGGTTACATGAAGGAGGGCAGGAGTGAAGGGGTTTTCACGGGGAGGGCAGGGAGTGAAGGGGTGACATGGGGGAGGGCAGGAGTGAAGAGGTTACACTGTTGAGGGCAGGGAGTGAAGGGCCTCATGGGGGAGGGCAGGAGTGAAGGGGCTACACTAGAGGTCAGGAGTGAAGGGGTTACATTTGGGGAGGGCAGGGAGTGAATGGGGCTACATTGGGGAGGGCAGGGAGTGAAGGGGTTACATTGGGGGAGGGCAGGGAGTGAAGGGGTTACATTGGGGAGGGCAGGCAGTGAAGGGGTTACATTTGGGAAGGGCAGGGAGTGAAGGGGTTACATTGGGGAAGGGCAGGGAGCAGGGAGGAAGGGGTTACATTGGGGAGGCCAGAGAGCGAAGGGGTTACATGGGGTGAGCATGCGCATGGAGTGAAGGGGTTACATGGGGGAGGGCAGGGAGGAAGGGGTTTACACTGGGGAGAGCATGGAGTGAAGGGGTTACATGGGGGAGGGCACGGAGGAAGGGGTTACATGGGGGGGAGGGCAGGAGTGAAGGGGTTACATTGTGGGTGGGGCAGGGAGTGAAGGGGTTACATGGGGAGGTGAGTGAAGGGGTTACATTGTGAGGGGGGCAGGGAGTGAAGGGGTTACATGGGGAGGGCAGGGAGTGAAGGGGTTACATTGGGGGGGGGACATGGTCTGGGGGCTGTGTCCTACCTGTAATAAATTCCCTGGTGGTCCAGTGTCCCTGGTGGTCCAGTGGGTCTCCGGTCTGTAGCTCCGCCGGGTGCAGAGCGGCAGACAGTGTAATAAAAGTCTCACAAGCTTCCTGAGTGTTGCCATGGTAACGCTCTGGGAGCTCGCGAGACTCCTATGACACGGTCTGCAGCTCTGCACCCGGCGGAGCTGCAGACCGGACGTGCTGGGCAGACTGATGGGAGGGAGCCCGGCGGCATACAGGGCAAGCCGCTGGGCTCCCTCCTGGTGTCAGTCTGCTTGCCAGAGTCCCCTGCGGCCCTGGATGTGTGGGTCAGCGCGACCCACGGGCCCAAAGCTCTCTGTCCCTCTTTTCTACCCTAATTTCCCTATTTTATAAGAGCTAAACATTGTTGGTTTATCTGCGTGCATAACAAAGCTCCACAGCAATAATACTCACAGTTATGTGTCTTTAAACTACAATAAACCAGTCTGTGTAAATGAGATGCATTGTTCTTGTTCTAAATTGCAGTTTAGTAGTTTCTCAGAACATCCCCACCCCTGGTCACATCCCCACTCACACCCTAAAATTAAAGTATCCCTCCTTGTCCAGCTAAAATGCTGGTAGGTATGAAAAAAATTTAGACTTATAAAAACCTGTACTTGAGGCCACGTCTGTGAGATACAGCTAACCACCCTTTGGGCACAATGAGCATGAGGCCCACATTTGGATTACCCTTAAAGGGACACTATAGTCACCCAGACCACTTCAGCTCAATGAAGTGGTCTGGGTGACAGGTCCCTCAGGTTTTAACCCTTCACATGTAAACATAGCAGTTTCAAAGAAACTGCTATGTTTACATTTGGGGTTAAGCCAGCCTCTAGTGGCTGTCTTCCAGACAGCCACTAGAGGCGCATCTGCGACGCTGGAGGCGAATTTCGCCTCCATCATGCAGAGCGTCCATAGGAAAGCATTGAGAAATACTTTCCTATGGACACTTTGAATGCGTGCGCGGCACTTGCCGCGCATGCGCATTCCGCTCCAGTGACACCGGACGGGAGAGCTGATGTTGGTTGGGGAGAAGAGGTCACCAGCGCCGAGGGAGCCCGGCGCTGGATTAAGGTAAGTTGCTGAAGGGGTTTTAACCCCTTCAGCGCCAAGGGAAGGGGACCCTCAGGGCACTATAGTGTCAGGAAAACCGCTTTATTTTCCTGACATTATAGTGATCCTTTAAGGACTGGAGGAAAAATTTTAGGCCACTTCAACTGAAAATACTGGGTCTTTATAAAATATAACCTTTATTAATAAACCGTCTTGTGTTTAAAAACAAGAAAACACAAACTAGTAAGAAAAATAAATATCTAGATTGACTCTCTTGCCTTCCAATTAATTTATAAAGAGAGTAATAACAATATTTCAAATATTTGCATTAATAAATCCATTTAAAACCCCATATGTGTTTTCTTTTAACTACGGTATTGAGTAACAAAAAAGAAAAATTGCAACGAGTTCAAGTCATTTATAATAGCAACATACAAGGATTCCTGCTCTTGAGAAAATGCTAGTACTGTACATGATTGGGAGTAGGGGTCTGGTGATGAATTAGCCATTTATTAGAGTGCGGGGTTCAGGTGGTATGTACGGAGCTAACAGATGGTAAATTAGTTAAATAAAAGCAGGACATAAATGAGAAATGACCACTGGTCCCAGGAGTCTTGAATGCAGTTACCCATCACAATTGTAAGGAAGTAAGCAGATCATTCATGCCCAGTAACCTAAATATAACCTTGTCACTGAGAAACATACCCTTCCGATGGTATTTGATTACAATGGACACCTTTGATTTGCAGCTTCCATTAATGTGCTACTCCACAAAGGACAACCAATGGCTGGAAAGGTGAGAAGAAGGGGATGGAATGGAGCAGATTCAACTTTTAGAATCTTTAGTGTAATATAGTTCATTTAAATGATCGCTGGCTAGCTCATTGTGTAATTCATTGTCACCCTGTTATACATAAAAAAAAAATGTTGATAGCCATGTTTATAAGTTGATCTAAAATTATAAAGCTGTAAAAAAAAAACATTTAATGAAAAATATTGGTTCTCAATTCACCACAATTTACTGGTTTCAACACAGGTCGTTATTTTATTGTTTAGATTTTTTTTTTTCAATAATGAGTAGTGAGAATGTAAAGTTAACTTTCATAGTCTATCCAGAGTAGAATATATTTATTTGTATGTTTGTTTGTTTATTTGTTATTGACTCTCTATAGAGTTTTCAGATATATCCCCTAATCTTTGGTAAAACTCAAAGAGCAAATTTATATAAAAACACCAAACGGAACATGACATGTGATGGTTTAACAGATGATATTTGGTACATTCTCTTAGGGCATTAACACATCAAATAACATTACGGAATTATCCATGGAAATATTATGAATATGCATACGCAAACAGTAATGCAATAAAAAGTCAGCACATTCAATTTCCCTATTTTTCCCCCTAATAATGAAACTTGAGAACATTTCAGCAATCAACAGCAGCTGAAAAATAAAAAAAAAGACAAAACCTTCAAAAAGAATCAGTGAATAGTTTTGTTGTAAAGTGAGAAACAAAGTGTCTCCAAGATGGCAATCATATCCCTCTCTGACTTGTAAACCTTCCATAAATGCATATTTTTAATGCATTTGGGCTGCACAGTTAAAATAATACACATTTTTTAGTTTTCAAAAATTGTCTTCCTAGCTAAAATCCTACACTTTCTTACCTGCAAAATCTGCATCTGCAACCTTGCTGATTCATCTGTTTTTACCCAGCATAAACGTCTTTATTTGTGCTGGGCAGTGCCTAATGAAATGCTTCTAACAGAGAACCACTGTGGAAGCAGGGAGCATTATAAAATACTTACAATAAAACTTTAAATCCTCATGCTCTCTTCTTTCTTATCTTATCTCACTCAGGAGGCTGCTGGCAAGGGCAATGCTTACTACCCATTTAGTTGCAATTAACAGAGCTGTGATCACAGAGTGCACCAACCTTCCCTACAACTTTTAAAGTAAACATTCTGTGTACAGATACTGAACATAAGATAGGAGAAAAGGACATATCTTTTCAGGAAATGTGTAGGAAGAGTGTGTGATTGACAGCAGAGAATTGAGCAGTTACATTGCAAGGGCATTATAATCTATGCACCAACACCACTTTATTAAGCCAAAAAATACAGTGCATACCTTTTAAAATGTCAGTCTAACTACCATCACCAATTCTCTAAATCTTTACCTTAAAGCGGCACGGTCACCCCACCTTGAAAAATTAGTATTTCAGAAAGATAGAACCTTTACGAAAGTACTCTTTTTGATGGTGTTGAAATTTCACTGAAAATCCAACCCAGTCAAAAGATATACTACTATATACTACTACTCTGTGTCAGTATATTCCCCACTCCAGACATTTCTAGACACTGGGCGAAGCTATCGCCGTCTGGTATTGTCAATCCCCCCCAGCCGTCACCAGCAGGGAATTGGCTCTCTCTATGGAGGAACCCACGGTCTTGTCGGATCCTCCATAGACTTCATGTGTGAAAGTCCAGCATGATGTCAGCTCCTGAGAAGCAAAAGGGGACCCATTGGAGGAAGATGGCCAGGCCTACAAGGGACAGGATCTGGTAAGTAAATTTTACCTTTAGTTGACCCCATTTAGCGGCTGTGTCCAGATACGGTGACAATGCCACTTTAACTGATTCTATCACCAATATATTTGTGCTTTTACATTTATTTATGTTTACGTTAAAGGGTTACCCCAAGCACTATGGCCACTTCAGTAGTTTTAAGTGGTCAAAGTGCTTGGAATCTATTTGTGCAGCACATCAGTCACACCTCTGCAACAATAGTGCTTGACGTCACTGAAGGCAGATTGTGCTGTATGCAGAACTTGGCCTAGAACTTATTAGAAGTGTTTTAAATGCATTCCAGGATGAGATATAACATATTTGAAGGATTTTAACATTCTTTGTAACCCAAATGATGATACAACTATAGGTATATAATTTAAAAGTATAAAAGAAAAAGTGATATTACCTTTGGAGGCACAAAAAATTCAAGCAGAAATCGTTCTCCCTCCATTTTTACTGCTTTCCGTAAAAGTAAACGACATTTTTGCCACTGAGTGCTTCCAACACAGTTTGTATCATCTGCTACCATATACCTGAGAGTTCCCTCTCTCTGAATGTCAACAACATCTATTTTGGATGCCTGCATTTTTGACAGTCGCAATTTGTGAGTCCATTTTTCACGTGGCTCAGCATGTTCTTTGTTCCCTACAGTGCAATGTTCACGCTCTGACTTTCTTATCTGTCCATTATCCAAACTTGGTTCCGGAGAAGACTTTCTGTGCCACATTTCTTTCATCCCATCTACTACACACAAGCTCATATTTCTCAAAGAGAACCCTTTCTTGAATTTTGGCTTAGAGCTCCCATGGACTGAAACATCTTCAGAACTGCGTGATTGGCCATAAGAAGAGACCTTGAGGACACGGCCCTGTGTCCGGTTTAAGTATCTGCTTGCGAGTGGATTATCCATGCTGTCCAAAGATTCTGATGATGTTTCTTCTTTCCTGGGCACAAAATCTCTGGCTAAAGGCACCTGACAATTCTGAAGACCTACAAAGGGCACAATGTTATACTTTGTTGGTGAGTCAGACACATATACCCTGCTGACCTCAAAACTGAAAAAGTCTAAAAAATTGGCAGCAAAATGGTGAGAAAATGAGGTTTCTGCCCCAGAGGTATTATAATGAGGATTCTCCCTTAAAAACTGGCAGAATTTCTGTGCAAAGTCAACAGCGGCAGCTTGTGCGTGAAGCTCACAAAACTCCTTCCAGTCAGGGAGCTGAGAGGAGGAATCTTGATTTGGAGCATCACCATTCATGGTTATTCCATTCCACTTTTAGAAAACTGAAAGGCAAATCAAATGGAGAACTGATTAATACAACATACACATTGGTAATTTGTAACTAGTACAGATGTTGCAATATTTGAAATTGAAATAAAAAACAGCTAGTTTCTTTAATTATTCAGCAAAAATGTGACATTATATGGACTGCAGCCTCTGAAAGAAACTTCCCCTCATTAAACCAAAATAAACAGTATTGAAACTATAGTAACTATCAAAAAATCTAGAACAGTGGTTCTTATAGAGTGTTTTTTTTTTCCATTGGCAGCCAAAGTGACCACAGCAAAGGTTTGTGGTTATAGCAGAAAATTATGCTTCGGTTTCACAAGATATAGAATGTTTCTGTTTGAATTTGGTATGTTCAGCTATTATCATAGCTTCTCTATGTAACTCTGAGTCTTGCAGTTCAGTTTTCAATTCACCACTATTCAAAACCAGGGGTAGTCAACCTTTTGAATACCTACCGCCCACTTTTGTATCTTTGTTGATGGTAACATTTCCTTACCGCCCACCAGTGCCGCAGTAACTAATTTTATAGCGTAAGTGCAAGGTTTTTTGTTTTGTTTTGTTTTTTAACTATGTACTCAAATGTATCTGTTTTTTCCTTTTTTTCTGTCTGTGAGGGTGTGTGTGTGTGTGTGTGAAGTGTGTAGTGGGTGTGAGAGAGGTGCAGTGTATGCAGGGCCGGACTGGCCCACCGGGATACCGGGAAATTTCCCGGTGGGTCGCAGCATCTGGGGGCTGCACAGGTATGTGCCACTGGGTGGCCGGTCTGATGGCACACTCAGAGGGGGCCAGCTGCGTTCCAGGCTGGAGTCGACGGGCCGGGTAGTTAATTCATCCTTAATATGTCATGGTAGTTGGACTGAAACATTGGTTATATGCAAAGGCACGTCTGCTTTTTTTTCACGTTGGAGTAATAATTTTTAATTTTAAGTTATCTGTTCTAACTGTATCTTCACACTATGCTGGCGCAATGCATTATGGGGCTGGTAAATCATTTTTTTCCAGGGCTGCTTTTAATTCCCAGTGCGGCCCTGAGTGTATGTGAGGGGGCACTGTGTGAAGAGTGCAGTGTGTGTGTGAAGGGTGCTGTATGTGGGTGAATTGTGCAGTGTGTGTGAAGGGTGTAGTGTGTGAAGGGTGCATTGCGTGGTTAAAGGGTGCAGTGTGTGTGTGTGAAGGGTGCAGTGTGTGTGAGAAGGATGCAGTATGTCTGTAAATGGTGCAGTGTGTGAGGGGTGCTGTATGTCTGTGACACGTGCAGTGTGGGAGTGTGTGTGTGTGTGTGTGAGAGAGAGAGAGAGAGAGAGAGGTGCTGTGTGTGATGGGTGCTGTATGTGGGTGAGTGGTGCAGTGTGTGTGAAGGGTGCTGTCAGTGGTGTATACTGGTTTTGTGCTGCCTTAGGCAGGACAAAACTCAGGCGCCCCCCACCACCCCACCTTCTAAATACACACACACACAGTCAGTCAGACACACACACACACACAGTCAGACAAACACACACAGTCAGACACACAGTCAGACACAAACACACACACACACAGTCAGACACAAACACACACACACAGACAGACACACACACAGTCAGACACAAACACACACACACACAGTCAGACAAACACACACACACAGTCAGACACACACAGTCAGACACACACACACACAGTCAGACACAAACACACACACAGTCAGACACACACAGTCAGACACACCAGTCAGACCACACACAGTCAGACACAAACACACACACACAGTCAGATACACACACACAGACACAAACACACACACAGTCAGACACAAACACACAGACACAAACACACACACAGTCAGACACAAACACACACACAGTCAGACACAAACACACACACAAACACACACACAGTCAGACACAAACACACACACAGACACAAACACACACACAGTCAGACGCACAGTCAGACACAAACACACACACAGACGCAAACACACACAGTCAGACACACACACACACAGACGCACACAGTCAGACACATACAGTCAGACACACACACAGACAGACACACACAGTCAGACACACACACACACACATTAACACTTTTTTTTTATCCCCCCCCCAGCCTCCTTACCTTTGGGAATGCTGGGGGGCGGGGGGTCCAGTGGCTGCCGGTCGGGCTGATGAGTTGGCTGCTGGGCGGGCGGCACTGGCGAGGGAGCACTTCCTCTGAGCACTCTGCTCAGCTCCCTCGTGCGCCACAGAGTGAGGCTGGGAGCCGGAATATGACGTCATCTTCCGGCTCCCAGCCTCACTCTGCGGCGCGCGAGGGAGCTGAGCAGAGTGCTCAGAGGAAGAGCTCCCTCGCCAGCCGCCTGCCAGCGCCGCCCGCCCACCCACCCAGCATTTTTGCAGCCCCCTGGAAAATGCCGCCCAAGGCAAATGCTACGTCCCTGGGTGCTGTGCATGTGTGAAGCGTGCTGTGCATATGTGAGGCAGGGCATGTGTGAGGGGGGCAGTGCATGTGTGTGTGTGAGGGGGGCAGTGTGTGTTTCTGTGTGAAGGGTGCATAGGGTCTATGCTGTGTGTAGGTGGGTGAGATGTGAAAATCTATCTTAGTGTCTCCCCCTCCCTTCTTCTTACCTTTTACCAGGGAGGGGGACATAATGCTGAAAGCCCCAGTGGTCCAGTGGTGGCATGTTTATTTTAGTCTGCAGCTCCTCTGGCTGCAAGCTGACTCTCCTGTCCTCCTGCGAGCACAGAACTGTATTGGAGCGTTGCCATGGTAACGTGCGACAAAGCTCCGACCAGCCTGCTTGCGGCAGGAACAAAGAGCCTACCAGGCCCTTCCCTCCCTCTGCTGGAACTAAGTGCCATCGGGCCGGTGAAGGAGATATTTGATCTCCTCACCAGCCCGGGAGGGCTTACAGCAATGCTGGCTCTGCATGGACCACCAGGGGATGAAAGGCCCATGGGGTGTTTTCTTCAGAACCCACCACCGCCCACCTGAAATCCCAAACCGCCCTCTAGTGGGCGCTAGGGACCAGGTTAGTTTAAACCCTTAATTGCAAATGTTGGCCACATGTGAACGGACAGGCAATTGAGCAGGGTACCTGGAGCTGGAACCCAAAGCAAACCCAGGCCCATCACCAAGCCCGTGCTCCTAGAAACATCGAAACTCAATTCCTTGATTAATGTAAACACCTGCGTTTTGTCCCTAAATCTAACATGCAAACCTAGGTAAAGACAGGCGGGATGAATATACCAGTCCTTAGAGTCATCTGGATGGTGCAGAGTACAGATAAGTAGAATGTCTCCAAGCAGATAGAGAGTAACCTTAAGACTGCCCGAGGTCAAAAAGGTACAGAAAGAAACACGTATGAGGGACAAAGTCAGGATTACAGACATCAAGTATAGTCAAATAATCCGGAGTCAGAAGCCAAATATACCCATTCTCGGGTATACAGGAACCAGTGTTAACCCATAAGCTATATACCGTATAGTGAATCGCTATTAGGCAGCATCACAATATGAGTGGTCTATGATGGCAGATTGATGCAGTGGTTTTTGGAGTTAGAAAATGATGTGCTGCATTAAAATGAATGTAGTAGTGACATCAACATGCACAGCTAAATGATGACGATAGGGAGCAGGTACTATGGCTCTATCTCCTATGCTCTTACCTATACTCTGACAATCAAAAATATGAAACTAGTATCATATTTTCACACTTCCACATAAGTACCCACTCATACACAAATGAGACAAACACTCAAACACAGACATATATATATATATATATATATATATATATATATATAGGCACACACATATACCCATATACAGAGAGACAAAAGCATGCACACAATTAAGTATCTATGTGCAAGGCTGCATACTCCACCCTCCAGTTATCCATGCTCACATACATAAGATCATCCACTTACATGCACACACCTAACAAGCCATGCTCACATACTCATAATTAGCCACTCACATAATTTATTAGCCATATATATATCTACACGCATGTATGCCGAAACTTTAACTACGCAACTTCCTCACTATCCCTTTGGCATAACCTGACATCGGTCCTTAGGACCAAGTTGGTGTACTAGACACCTGAACACCCACAACATGTTATGACTCCTATAGAAATACCTAGGCCTACGTCAGCTTGATATAGACAATTATAAAAATGGTGCAGTTTTCCAATGTTTTCCACCCATACCATGTTATGCATTGTCATCTCTCTACCTAAATATTATTTCTCAAAGTATGGCTTATGCAATGCACTGCAAAAATAAAGCGTTAAAAAAAAATTACAAAAATTGTTGGTAAGTTTTATCAACCAGCCATTATTTGCTAAAGTGGCTGTCACTAGCATTAGCAAGATTTCGCTGCCTCTAAACTGCTAAGTCTGACCATTAGTGACAGAGAATTACTGTCTGTTGTTGACATTATAGAAACACTGCAAGCACCATAACTATTACAAAACCATCCATATTTGGATAGCATTTACTGACTGAGTGTGTCAGCTAAATGTCAGTGTGACTCCTGTAATAGCCATGTACCAGGGACATGGTTTGTGTCAAATTGCTTGAAAACAGGATGAACAGGACAATGGGAATGTGGCACCATCACCACTATATTTGGTTATATTAGTAGTGATTATAGTGATTAATGTGGCTTTCTAAAGGCACATTCCAAGCACCATAACCTTTAGAACTTATTGAAGTGTTTTTACTCTATGAGTAACCATTTTCAAGTTGTTAAACAAAAACAATAAAGATTCCCTGGAATCCAAAACCCGCCCACCCAGCTTGGGGCATCATATAAAAAATTATTTTGCAAAGACTTCATAAGAGGATATATCCGCTTACATGTTAGCATGCGGAGGAAGACTTTAAATATACTAATCTGAACTTGTGCGTGTACATGGCATTTTGTGTATTTGCATCCCACAAGACAGAACAACCCCACCAGTAGCAATTCCAAACAGTATTATCTAATGCTCCCCCTCCACTGCC